CGCTATGGGTCGGACCCGACTCGATGGCACTTAACAACAACAACAACAACACGGAACCCAGTTAATACCACTATTACTCAAATTTACGCACCAACCACTAAAGCCAGCGAGGATGAAACAGAAAAATTCTAACTTCTTCAATCTGAAATTGATCAAACATGCAATCAAGATTTTCCCCATAAAATCCTTCAATATTGCAAATTAAGGGTTGGATTTTTTCTTCAGTTCTTTCAGCTTGAAAAATGCTGACTGTGTTCTTTGTCTTTTGTTTTCTAACTCAAGATCTTTACACATTTCATTATAATACTTGACTTTGTCTTCTTAAGCTGCCCTTTGAAATTTTCTGTTTAGCTCCTTTATCTCAACTTTTTTTTCATTTGCTTTAGCATTGGAAAGCAAGGTTCAGAGTCTCTTCTGACATCCATTTTGGACTTTTCCTTCTTTCTTGTTTTCTTAATGACCTTCTTTTGCTTTCTGCCTCTATGATGTTCTTTTCTTATTTTATTTTTTTTTGGTCTGACCTACAGTGTGTTCTTTTTTTTTTTTTTTCATTAACTTTTTATTGTGAATTCAGTAATAGTTTACATAGGAGAATATCAGTTTTACACTCATCCTATCATATTTCATTTCACTGTAATGATTACACTCCCCTCTGTGCATCATCATTCAACAATATTTGCTTCTACTCCCTCTGTTTTTTGTTTTTTGGATATACATCAAAACACTCAGGAATGTATAATCATTTAAACAACCAAAGGGCACATTTTGCAAGCCTGCTTCTTGGCTACTAGCACACAGCCTTTCTCTTTCCATGAGTCTGAAGTCTTCAGTTGCTCTATCTCTGCATGTTATCATCTCTGCCTCCATCTCTAGTGTCGCTGCTTCTCTACATAGGGTCCCACATTCTGCTCATGCTTTTCTCCCTTGATGGTTCTAGGCGCCTCTCTTCCTAGTAAGATTAATTACTCCTCCCTTCATGTTAAACTATTTCCAGCTTTACAGTAATGACTATCACAATTAGTCATGATAACAAATACTCACTAAGAATCTTATCTCCATCTCTTTTCACCAGACACGTCTAGCGAAGATGAAAACTACTCAGTGGGGATTCTACCCTCCCCTGTACATTCTGAAACTAAACTTGAAAACTTGTAAACCAGTCACTTTGTGCCTTTATACCCCTGCAACTATTTTAGGTAGCTAATGTCTAAGTTGCCCATCCCTATCAACCCAGTGTACAGAGGGGATGGGAATTATCCTTGCTGCGAAGATTCATCCTGCTTGGTTGTTACTTTTAAGCTACTACATCCATAAGAACAGGTCAAGTTCATCAAACTGTAGCAATTCACACTTACTTTCTAACGCTTTTTTTTTTTTTTTCCCCTCTAGTCGAGTTCTGATAATCCACTCATCGAAGCTAGGTCAAAGGGGTACTATCAGCAAGTTTGGGCGTTCTTGTGCATCTCTCCTCACTTCATATTAGCTGGATGCTTCACTCTCAGCTCTAGCCCTCGGTGGCTATATCCTTATCCATGACTTCAGGAGTGCCCAGGTCTCATCATACTCCAGGTTGACAGGATTCTGTGTAATGTAGTTGGACTCAGGCCACATCTTCATTGTTGCTTTTCCCCCACTTCCACTCACCAGCAGACCAACATGGTCACCAGCAAGCTTACATGCCTAATCGTGTATTCCCTTTGAGTTTCAGTTTGGAGGGGGGTTTATTCTGAAGGGACTTGGTAGCTTGCCTTGATGGCTTGCAAGCAAACAACTTGTTTTTTCTTGTGGTGGCCAAGCAAACTGCCATTTTTGTTTTTTATTTTTCCTGCTGGTCTTTCTTTCAAGAAGTATCTTCTGTTCCTCTAGCTGCTCTATGGTGGTCTACTTGTGTTTTCAATTGGAAATTTCCCACCTCAGAAGGTTCTGGATGGGAGTCAGGATTCCACCTAAGATCTTATACACTACAAAGGCTCCACAAGAAGCCTTTTCACTGGGCAAATTGTAGCACTCCTTTTAGGTATTCCAGTCAGCTATAGGCTGAAAGCAGGCTTACAAGCTTTCTGTAATCAAGTTTCCAGATATTCCTTTCTATCCCCCTCATCTATTTTACAATAGTAGGCAAGAAAAACTGATATTCATAGGACATTCAATCACCTTAACATTATTTCCCCTCTTTTACCCATTCAGACTATGCCTTGATCCCTGTATCACACAGTCCTGTTGTTCCAAGGTTGAGCATACATCACTATTTAACTCTGTCCCATTTAGCCCATGCAAGCCTGCCTAAATGTTCTCCTATCTACCTTGTTCTTTCATCCCCTCCCTCTTCTTGTTTATTGCCCACCCTAACTATGATGTATCTATCCCCTACCATGTGCTCTACCATCCCTTCCCTCCCCCACTCCCATCCCCATGGTAACCAACAAAGAATTTTTTTTGTTTTTCCTTTTAGTGTGGGTATCTTTTCTTAAACTTTTACAATAATGGTCATATTCAATATTTGTCCCTTTGTGATTGGCTAATTTCACTCAGCACAATGTCCTCAAGGTTCACCCCTGTTACGTGGTGGCTTGTAGCTTCTTTGTTATTCTTCATCCCACAACTCTTCTGGTCTTTGGTCTTTAGTGTTTAATTCATCAAATTTGTTCTTGAGATGATCTCTAAATTCAAGTGGGATATATGTTCAAGATCATATTTTAGCTCTTATGGACTTGTGTTGTTTTTCTTCAGCTTTAGCCTGAATTTGCATATGAGCAATTGTTGGTCTGTTCCACAGTCTGCCCTGGCCTGTTTTGGTTGATGGTATGGAGGTTTTCCATCATCTCTTCACACAGATGTAGTCAATTTGATATCTGTGTATTTCATCTGGTGAGGTCCATGTGTTGTTGTTAGGTGCCATCGAGTCAGTACCAACTCATAGCAACCCTACAACAGAACGAAACGCTGTCTGGTCCTGCACCAACCTCATGATTGTTGCTACTTCTGAGCTCCATTGCTGCTGCCACAGTGCCAATCCTCTTTTTTTCCAATGCCTCAATTTACCAAACATGATATTCTTCTCCAGTGACTAGACCCTCCTGACAATATGTACAAAGTATGAAAGATGAAGTATGGCCATCCTGACTTCCAAGGAGCACTCTGGCTGTACTTCACTGTCCAACTTTTACATGCATATGAGGTTACTGAAAACACCATGGCTTGGGTCAGGCGCACCTTAGTCCTCAAACTGACATCTTTGCTCTTCAACACTTTAAAGAGGTCTTGTGCAGCAAATCTGCCCAATCCATATGTTGTTGGATTTCTTGATGTCTGCTTCCATGAGTGTTGATGGTTAATCCAAGCAAAATGAAGTCATTGACAACTTCAGTCTAGTCTCCATTTATATGCATGTTATTTATTGGTCCAGTGGTGAGGGGTTTTTTTCTTTACATTGAGGTGCAATGTATAGTCCATGTCTATAGGAACGTGTTAGGACTGATAAAACACCTATTACCATTTATTTATGATCTCCATTCTTGTTCCAACCACCCTGTTGGTTAGTGATTTTACATCTGAGAAACAAGAATCATGTGGTATGTTGTTAAGGAACATTTGGTATCAAACCAGTTGATTGTCTTAAACTAATCAGAGTAAATCTGGACCCCTGAGTCCAGCCAGTACAACAAATATGTGCCAATTAGAACAACGTTTCCTGTCTGGTTGGTCATCATCCCCAAGGCCTACAGTTAGAAACATGAGAGATTATATACTAGGATTTAATATTTTTTCTCCTTCCTTTCACTCAGTTACTTTGCAGTTTGGGCATTCTCTCAAGTAATATTGAGATCCTTATTTTTGTATAGACTTTTTCCTTTCTTCTGTTTTATTATGGTTTTGTAAGGATATTTTTAGAGATATATAACTATACAAGATATACAACTATACTGCCACCATTGTCTTTCTTTTTGTTAGGTGCCATCAAGTTGATTCTGACTCATTGCAACCCTACACATAACAGAATGAAACACTGTGCAATCCTGCATCATCCTTATAAGTGTTATGTTTGAGTTCAATGTTCCTGCCACTGTGGCCATCTTATTGGGGGGATATTCCTCTTTTTTTGCTGACCCTCTGCTTTACCAAGCACGATGTCCTGCTTCAGGAACTGGTCCCTCTTGACAACATGCCCAATAACAAGTCTCACCATACTCACTTCTAACGCACATTATAGCTTCTAAAGTACTTCTTCCAAGATAGATTTTGTTTGTTCTTCTGGCAGTCCATGATATTTTCAATACTCTCCCCCAACAACATAATTCAAAAACACCAATTCTTCTGCAGTATTCCTTATTCATTGTCCATGTATATGAAGCCCTTGAAAATGCCTTATCTTTTGAATAAGGGTCAGGCACACCTTAGTCCTCAAAGTGACATCTTTGCTCTTGAACACTTAAAAAAGCTTTTGCAGTATCGGTGGGCACAGTGAGTCACAGCAGGAGTTAAGTGGAGGCCCTAGGATTGCACTCCTGTGTGCCACTTCTAATAGATCCTCGTGCCTGTTGATTTCCAGATTCAGAGGTGTTAACACCAGGCATAGCTCTCCTTGGAGGTCTCCTCCTAGGTTTCAAGGTGCTGCTGGTGATTGGAATCTCTGTCATCTACATCTCCATGAAACAGAAGGTCTGACTGTAAGTTGTGGGGGAAACCCAGGCTTCAAGAAGGGAGTTTTGCAAAGTCTGTCCCAGAGGGGTAAGGTCAGCAGGAAGGGACAGCCTAGGAGTTCCCACCTGTCACAGTATGAGGACCCACCAGGAATTAGGAGAGGTGACGCACCTCCATCACTTATCTCAATGTCTCATAGAATCCTCTAAGAGGTTCTCAGCTTTCAGGAAGCATGTGAGGTCCTGCAGGAGGTGGATAAGTTCAATGGTATTTGAAGGGCATCCTCAGGATCCTAGAGTTTTCATGGTGGATATGGGAGAACGGGGCTGAATGGGAGAATCTGAGTGAGCTGTTCTACTGGGTACCATCTCCAGATTATTTAAACACTGGGGCTTCGTGGCTCACCAGGAGTCTACATTTCAGAGTAGTATTGAAACCCCCTGGATCAGTGCTGTGAGGGTTCTCCGACTGACACTGCATGTGACTGTGTGGTCAGGACTTGGGGAGAAAGGGCTGTAGTCCTATACGCAGAGCTTCCCAGCAACTCACATCTCACATCCCAGAAGGAGAGCAACGCTGGGGACACAGTAGGCACTCAGGAAACATTTCTTGATACTAAGCAGATAATCACATGTAGACCTGTTTTTCCACAGTTCCTTCCTTCCTGATCCAGCTCGAGAAGGTACCAAATGGAAGCCTCTATAGATTCTGTTCCATTTGCCTCCCTGCTCTGGACACCTGCCCACACCCTCCTGCTGTTTCTTCTCACAGTTTCTGGTGGCCCCAGGGCCAAGTCTTAGGACAGGTTCTATGGACTGATTCACTGTACTTTCTGAAAATATGAGATGTGAGAAAAATTTCCAAAACGTATCTAGTTATGTCCCATTTGTGCAATTCAACTATAAACCACATATTCATATCTGTGCTCTTAAGAAATTTTCTCTCCTGTATCCCTGCGCAGCCCTGATTCCCCAGCCTTGCTCCTGAACATAAACAGATGCCTATCCCGGTTTAGATTCCTGATCACTATGAGTCAGAAGTGGCTTGACAGCACTTAACAGCAACAACATCCCTGCTTAAAAGGCACCATATTTTCCTTGAATTATATTATAAAATAGACACTGGAGGGGGAGAGAAAGGAATAGCCAGAAACATCACTATAGAAAGCTTTTAAGTCCGTCTTCTGCCTATATCTGATTGGAATACCTAAAATGGGGCTACAATGTGCCCAGTGAAGACTATAGGTGAACCACATCCAGATCTCCAGGGATGGGAAATTTCCACTTGAAAGGACGAGCACACCAGCCTGGAGCAGCTAGAAGAACAGAATATACTTCTTGAAAGAAAGACCTACAGGAAAAATACAAAACAAAAGAGGCAGACCGACTGTTACTACAAGAACAAGCAAGTTGCTTTCCCAGGAGACATCAAGGCAGGTGGTCGGGTGTCCTCAATGCAAACCCTTTTCCAAAACTGAGACTCAATGAGAACACACACTCTGATTGGTGATCACACTCATCACCGATAAGGGGAAGTAAAGGAAAAACAGTAATGAAGCGGCGAGATAAGACCTACAATGTTCAATAGACTCCTGTGAACCCAGCAGTGTGACAATACCTGGGGAGTCCTGGGCCCAGAGTCAATGACACAGCTACAGAGGACTAAAGTGGAGAGTGAAGCGTCCAGCTGATAAGAAGAGAGGGGATATGCACAAGAACACCCACACTTTCAGATAATACCCACTTGACCTGGCTTCAATGACTGGATGATCAGAGCTCAACCAGAAGAAGAAAGAAAAGGAAAAAGAGCGTAATCTGATACAATTTGATGAACTTGACCTACACCTATGGATGCAGTAGCTCAAAACAGGAAACAAATCCTTACTGCAAGAATCATTCCCACCTCCTTCACACACAGAGTAGACAGGGATGGGCAACTTGGACATTGGCTACCCAAAAAGGGGGGTGGGGGTAGCGGCTACAAAGGCAAGAGGTGACTGGCTTACAAGCTTTCAAGAGGGAACCTAGATTCAGAGGGCATGCAGGAAGGTAGAATTTCCACTGAGTACTATGCAATCTGTCTAGGCAGGGCTGATGAAATAAAATGCTGATAGGTCTCTTGTGATACAACAGTGAATAATTGTTATCAGGACTGATTGTGAGGGTTGGAAATGTAAAGGTAGACATTTTATAGTAAGGAGTGGAGTGATTAACTTTTCAGTCTATGAGCGGAGGTCCCTAGGACCATCAATGGAGAAAAGCGGAGAGCGGGACCTTACCCAGAGAAACAGTGATGCCTGAGATGGAGGCAGAGACAATGACGTGCAGAGATAGAGTAGCTAAGGACTTGAGATCAGAGAGGGAAAGGGGCTGTGTGCTGACGACCGGATTGGGGGGCAGGCTTGCAGGGTATACCTTTTGGTTGGTTGATGATGCATGGAGGGATTGCAACCGTGGCAATGGAACGATATTCGATATAATGAATGTAAAACTAATGTTCTCCCATGTAAACTATCACATAATTCACAATAAAACATTTATTAAAAAAAAAAAAAAGACACCATAGTAGTGTAGGTTACATACACATTGGCCTGCTAACTGCAAAATTAGATGAGGCTTTCTGCTTTCATAAAGATGTGTTGTTGTTAAGTGCCTTGGAGTTAATTAGACCCACAGCAATCTTGTGCAGGATTTCTGAGGAGCAGGAGCTGGGCTTGAACCACCGAGCTTGTGGTTCACAGTCCAGGGATGATCCTACAGTGCCACACCAGAAGTCCCATAAATATGTACTGCCTCGGCAGAGACGATGACACAGA